CATCTGGTCTGCACCAAGTCCACCCGTCGCCATGTCGCCGTCTCTAAAGCATCGTCACCTGGCTCGCGGCCGCGTCCTCGACGCTCGCGGCGCCGCTGCTCGAGTCCCGCGCCGTCATCGGCCACGATGCCGTCGTCGGCTTCCCGCAGACGGTGCCCTCGGGCGTCTCGGGTCAGCTGATGCTCAAGTACAAGCCGTACCTCAAGGTGTTCAACGGCTGCGTGCCGTTTCCCGCCGTCAACGCCGGCGGCGACACGGGGTGAGATTTCTTTTTTTTTCTTTTTTTCAATCGTCCCCCTTCGTTCGGCCGCGCGTGGCTGTGTGCTGATGCTGACCATGTTCGAACAGCGGCGGCCTCGCACGTCGGGCAGCAGCAACGGCGGCTGCTCGTCGAGCCCGGGCCAGGTGTACGCGCGCGCGGGCACCTACAACGGCGCCAACGCCATCCTGTACGCGTGGTACATGCCCAAGGACGCGCCGTCGTCGGGGCTCGGCCACCGGCACGACTGGGAGGGGGCCGTCGTGTGGCTGTCGTCGGCGGCGGCGGACGCGACCGTCGTCGGCGTCGCGGCGTCGGCGCACGGCGACTACGACGTCAAGCGCGCGGCCGACGTCAGCTTCGCCGGCGCGCGGCCCAAGCTCGGCTACCGCAGCACCTGGCCCGTCAACCACCAGATGGTCTTCACGGCCGACCAGGGCGGCGAGCAGCCGCTCGTGGCGTGGGAGAGCCTGACGCCGGCGGCGCGGGCGGCGCTGCAGAACACGAACTTTGGGTCGGCGAACGTGCCCTTCAAGGATGGCAACTTTGCGAGCAACCTGCAGAAGGCGGCGCTGTAGTGTCTGAGGTTGTGATGGCCGGGAGAAAGAGGTGAAAGAGGTGAAGGATGAGGCGAAGAATCGGACGGAGATTGACGGTTGACAAAGACACAGAGATGGTAGACGGACATCTCGAACGGTGTCTATCTGCCTAGGTAGGTACCTAGGTAAAACCTTGGTAGGGACCTAGGTAGGAACCTAGGTAGGAGAGGAGTTGGCAACAGATGATCTCGAAGAGCAACGATTATCACACAGCACAAATGTGGCTCATTCACAACGTCTTGTCCCTGCCATCGTCTGTGAACCTCTTCCTCGTCTCATTCCTCTTCTCTTTCCTCTTGTCTTTCCTCCTTTCTTCTTCTTCTTCTTCTTCATCTTCATCTTCCTCTACCAACTCCATCTTCTTCCACCACATCCCCACGACCACCTCTATCTATGCCTAGTCTCTTCCTCGATCAATGCGTCAGCTGTAGCCAGGGTCATCGAATCCCCCCCTCCCACGGTAAACGTCACCCAATCGATCAGCTGCGAGGCGTCACTGCCCGCGTCGTCCGCTTCATCATCGCTTCCAGCTCCTGCAGGCCCTTATTCGCTGCCTCACTGCCGCCGCCACTGTCACGCCCGTTGGCCGCGCGGGCGAGAAGTCTCTCCGCGACGCCCGGTGACGGATCCGTCCGGTACCTCTCGAGTGCATGCGAAGTGCCCTGCACCTGGAGACTGCTGCTTGTCAGCTTTTCTCTGCGGATCCTCGACGTGGCACCCTTAGAGCCATACCCTTCACCAGAGACCCTCATCGAAGGAGCGGCCGAATTGGGCGCCATGGCGAGCTTGTCTCTTTCGTGTCGGGATTGGGACAATGTTGCTGCTTGTACTCGACTTCTTCGTCGCGGCACAAACTCCGAAAGAGACGTCTTTCGACGGCAACGGCAAAGACTCGTGCTCTCTTCTGGTCGTCGATTCGCGTACCACAGGGTGCCAATCGAGTATTTGGCTGGATCAATTGTGAATGATCTTTTTCGTGCGTTGCTGAGCTTCAACAGTGCTTCTCGTTGCTGCTTCGTGCAGTGGCATCGGCACAGAACTCGATCAACTTCCTGAAGTGAAACATGCCCTCCTCTAAATACCACTCTTCTGGCAGCAAAACTGCCTCGAAAGATTTCGCATAAAGCATCTCTTTCGTAGCTGCTCGCTCGAGCCATCTCGCAACAGAGTGGACGCGCATTCGAGGACACAGCAAAATGAGAGCAAAACACAAAGAAAGAGAGACGTACCCCCTGACTCCACACGCAACGCGCGACATTGCGCGAGGTACGTTGACGTACAGGAACCATGACCGACGTCTGCCTTTGGCGATGGAACCTCTGGTCTATTCCCAAACAGGCGCGTTCGACCTGCAGCCTTACATGCTAATACCACATTGTGCCTCTCTTGGGGGGTTCCAGAGTGAGCATCCTCTCATGGGAGGATGCGCATTTGCGCAGTCTCCTCCCCGCGCGTCTCCCCGTCTGCGCAGGCTTCACTCGCCGATCTGCGCATAAATATGCTTCTCGCCCGCGCGGGTCTCGCGACAATGGTCTTTTCCTTTGAGAGCAACTCTGAGAATCCGTTATTCCCCAGATCCCCTCTGCTTACCTCCACTAGGCACTACACCACATCCCTAGGTCTCTTTTTCCGACGAAGCATGAGCCCTAGCCTCGTTTGATGCAACCCAATTCAGGATTCCCAGCATGAGATGGTTGTGATCGCACCAGCTCCACGTCCCAGTACAGGGTCCGTTTTATTCGAACATCCTTCGTCGCTTCAAAGAGTACTATCACCAGCTCGCAGCCCGTGGTCTTACATCGTTCGTCGCTTCAAAGAAACCCATCATCAGCTCAGGAAGCGCCCTCTTGCCGACCCCCTCACGTCGTTGCCCAAACCTAAGCGCATAGCAAGCAGTCGACAGTCTGTCATGCCGAAGTCTGCAGGCCGCTCTGTCCGTGTGGCTGAATCATCGTCATCCGAGCCCACCAAACGTAAAGGGGCCAAGTCTGACTCGGTACAACCCCTTTCTGAACGACGGAACCTCATTTCTGACTTGGCAAAGGACCACGCGCCGTCTACCTCCACGCGCTTCTCGGGTCATTCGCCCAGCCGATCCTCTGGCAAGGCCTCAAAGGGTACCAAAACCAGTGCGGTTCCAGGTGCAGTCCGTTCCGCCGAACCCAGCTCTGTTCCTTCGTCTGGAAGCAGCCTGCACGCGCTTGAACAGAGTGCTTTCATCAAGGCCTGCATTGCCAAGCGGAACAAGCAAATCGTTGACAACTTGATGGAAATCATTCAAGAGTGTATTGATAACTCGCTGGGAACCAGTGACGAGGCCCAAGACGGAGATGAACCCGGTCGATCGAGCTCATCGAGGGGCGGCTCCAAAGGTACCCGGTTCCAAGGTTCGACCACATCGCTAGCTGGACAGAAGCGCCAGCTTCAGCGCGGCGACGGCAGCGAGCCTCCCGGCGACGACAGAGGCGACGGCGACAAGAACGGCAAGGATAGGAACAGCAAGCGAGCAAAGACAGATAGCGACGATAGCCACCGAAAATTCGCTTGCCCTTACAACAAGTACAACCCCAAGAAGTGGAACTCTGGTGCCTGTTGCGGTCCAGGGTTTCCCAGCTGGCATCGTCTCAAGTGTGTTGTCCTGTCTCCCTCCATCTGTAGTGCATCTTAGTCCGCGCATGGCCTGACTCGAAGCAGGGAGCATCTCCTACGCAAGCATCGTCTTCCGCGCTTTCCTTGTAAACGTTGCTGGGAGTAGA